TTCTCTTCTGCAATCAATGAGATTTCCATAGATCAGCATTTCCCGAAACATGCTCTGTGGAACAGATTCCACACAAGGGTCTGGTGTTGGGCATGAGTTTGGGCAAGGCTGGGGTAAGCAGAGGTGAGCAGCTGTGTTTGCTGCAGGGCTTCTCAGGATCTTTATGGGTTAAGATGACTTGCGAAGCTCAATGCGTGAGTGACATGCGCAGAGTTTCCCCAGATTCATTTGACTGAGGAACCCTTTCCTACAAGGCATACCAGGGGACACGTTTGGGGAAAATTTGCTGTTGTAGGCCTCTCTCTTGGCCCCAGGAAGCTTCTGTCTCCATCTGATGCTCACACTGAGTAACGACAGCAGCGGGGATCTTGGTATAGGTATATATCACCCCCACTCTGCTCTGCTGGTTTCTAGCTTTGCATTGCTGTACATATTTTTTAGTGCAGGGCGCCTCAGATGTTGTGTGGAAGTGAGGAGGGTGGGAGAGCATCACCTGGAGATAAATAGCCCATGCTAGGACCATGGGCAATTCTGAGCCCTCAGTCACTATGGGCAGGGGCTGGTGTGCAGTTCGCCATAATTCAGATCACCCCTCGGAAGACTGGAACGAATGCAGCCCTTTTGGGATTCTTTCGAGCTCTGATTATTTTGTCCTGGGTGATGAAAAAAGGAGGGCAAGTGCCAGCATGTTTGTGTCCTGCAAGAACTGCTTAAGAAAGTAGAAGCAACCTTGTACTGATCACGGCTGACCTCAAAAATGACATCCTTTTTGCTCTCATTGCACCGAGAAAGACAGAGGCAAGTGGACCACGGGCAGGGAGCCCTGGCTTTTGATGAGGTGCTCTTAGGGGCAGGTGAGCCACCGGGAGCTGAGGCCACCCTAAAGGCCACAGGCCAATGAGGAACATGTCCCAGGAAGCTGCCTGCAGCTGTAGGGAGCAGCTAGGAGCACTCTCACATTGTGTCCTGCCTCCTGGGGGAGGGATGGTAGTGGTGGTGCAGGTGCCCCCACTTCTTTCTTTGATCCCCAAGCCCCCAATAAATAGGTTTTTCTTTCTGTCTTTCAGTTGATTTATATAGTAAGTGGGAAGACTGGGAGAAAGTGCCCCTACCCCCATCCCTTTATTTCTCCAGTACATTTCTTTTTGTTTTGTTTTGTTAATCTTCACCTGAGGATATTTTTTCCCATTGATTTTTAGAGAGAGTAGAAGAGAGGGAGGGAAGGAGGGAAGGGGAGAGAGAGAGAGAGAGAGAGGGACGTGAGAGAGACACATCAGATTGGTTGTCTCCTGCACATGCCCCAACAAGGGATGGGAATTGAACCTACAACTCATATATGTGCCCTTGACCGGGGAGTTGAACCCTCACCTTTCGGTCTGAGGGCTGATGCTCTGACCACCGAGCCACACTAGTCAGGGCTCTCCAGTGCATTTCAGTCTGCAGGGAGCAAACCATTAGTGGGCAGAGAAATAAATTTAGTGGGCTGTGACCAGCATTTTATCACATGAACTAGAATAGAAGGTAGTAAATGCATTGGCTGTAGTTGGGGTAAGTGTCGCTTCATGAAAGAAAGGCAGTGGACAGACACGCAGACAGATACATACGGGCTGCTGTATAAAAAGCATTACCCTGGGTTGCTCTCAGTGACATCCCGAAGCCACTGGCTAGCTGATTCCAGGGGCTAGCACCAGCTGGGCAGTGTGCATCTGCTCCCTGGGTCTGTCCTGGGTTCTGGGGTCCAGTCCCAGGCCAAATTGTCCCTCCAGAGAAAAATGTATCCTGAAGAAAGGTTCTTGCGATGTGTCTCCCTTTGAAAGAGATATTTTTGTGTGTGTCAGTCACGCCACTGAGCCTGGAAGGCCCTGCTGGAAGAGAAGGGCATTCACTCCTGGCTAATGGGATGTCGCTGTCAGCTGGAGTGTGTCCAGTCAGACTCTGCAGGTGATTTGAGAAGGGGGAGCACTGGACTTGGAATTCCCAGTACTGGTTCTAATCCTGGGCCTACCACTCACTGCTGAGTGACTCAAGAAAAGTGACTTGCCCTCTTTGGGCCTCAGTTTACTCAGGTACAAGGAGAGAACTGAACCAGGTGATTTCTAAGCTCTTGTTTTGTTCTTATAGTTGCTCCAGGGTGAAACAGAAAATCTGGATCTTGGAGGAAATCACAAAAGGGAAGCCAGTATTGTCCCCAGGCTTCTCCCTAAGGCCTCTGGAGGCAAAGGGTCTTGTTAGCTCAAGGTGCACCAGCTAGGTGTGTCTGTAGATGCTGGCAGGGGTAGAGTGTGTGTAGGGGTGTGGTGGGAGGCAGAGGATGGCCGATCCCTGGCAGTACTCAGGGTATATGATGACAGAGGCAGCTGAGCCTGAGCCTGGTCTCCATGGACAGCATTTATTAGACGCCATTCTCAGTGTGAAGACAGATAGGCAGGAGGGTCTAAAGGGAGGCCGTGGCAGCCGTAGCCTTTGGGGTTCAGGGGCTGCCCGGGGTGGGGGTGTGGGCGTGGGGGCATGTCACCCACACATATTGCATATTCTGTGGCAGTGTGCCCAGGCATAAGGCATTGGGGAAGCAGAAAGGCTGCCTGCAGAGGGAGGGGGGAGGGGAAGCAACACTGGCCTTCCAGTTCCCTGGGAAAGACCCAGCCAGAGACTGGAGACCGAGCAGCCTGCCAGGGCCATTCAGCCTCCTTCCCCACCATCTCCCTGCAACTTTGGTTGTGGCTCTCTTGGGACTGACGGGACAGGACCCCTTGAGGGCAGGGTCACACACAGGACAAAGGCAGCCAGCACTGCTCCCCACCCTGACATAAACACAGAGGGCACCCCCGACTCCTGGGCCCTGCTCTCCTTGGCACGTGGGCAGTCAGCTCCTCCACACTGAGACAGGACTCACACACAGGCCAGGCTAGGCTTCTTCCCTCCCAGGGATTCCCAGGGGCTGAGCATATGGCTGGAGCTGGCCTGACACTGATCACCCTGTGGGCCCCTACTCCAGCTTTCCTGAATGCCAGGGTTGGCCTTGCTTAGCAGTGTTAAGGAGCTGGGACATGGGGACAGCATGCAAGGGCAGTATTGAGGGAGGAGAAGCCCCTCACTCACCCTTTGATGCTGTCCTTGACCCTTTGAGTCAAGGTACCAGCTCCAGCTGTGGGTCTCCACAGTGGAGCTTAGGTTCTCACCTCCATAGGAAGCTCTCCATCTGGGCTTCTGGGTTGCAGGTGGGGGAGGCAATGGGCACACCAATTCCGGGCACACCAATTCCAAGCCCCCCACCTGGGAGGGGCATTCCTTGCTGCAGTCTTAGCTTATATCTAGCCACTTGGGACACACGCACCAACACTGGCTGTGGAATCAGGGGTAATGTCCCAGTAGGAATTGCCTGCCAGTTCTCTAGGCCACTCCGTCCAATTCCCAAACCTTTAGAGCCCCAGCTCCTGGCCTTTTTTCTGTGGCACCCAGCCCTGCTTGCTTTGGTCCCAAGAACTCCCCTATTTATAAGCAGGCAGTCTAACCAAGGGGTCCTACCCTGCCTCAGAGTCCTACCTGACCCATTCAGAGCTCCACCTCCTGGCCACGCGGAGCAGAGGCTGAGCCCCTGCACTAGCTGGGTTCTGGGCCTGTTTTAGCCCAGTTGTCCACACAATGCCAGTGGACAGGGCAGGAGCTTTGCTTTCAAGAGTGGGCAAGGGAGTTGGAAGGAAAGAGCAGTCGGCCTGGGAACAAGCAGCTTGGGTTCTTGTTCCCCTGTGCCTTTTGCTGTATCTGTCACTTTGGGCAAGTCACATAACCTGTTTGGGTCTCATTGTCATCTGTAACATGGGGGTGAGAACTCCTGCCCTCGTGACCTAACTGGAGTGTTGTGAGACTCAAACGATGAGTAGTCAGGTAAGTTTTCAGAGGCTAAAACTTATTCCACAGATGTCAGAGTTGGTAATGGTGAGCAATGGCCAGGATGGCAAGTAGGCCATTTTCTGGTTGACCCAAGGGAAGTGTCTGGAAGGCTGGACTCCCCCTGCCCCCTCTGAGAATGTGACTGGAGGCCACTTAGCTCTCACCTGCCAGTGGGACCACCCTGCCTCTCCCCTCCTTTCTCTGCCCCTCCTGTAGCCTGCCTGTCCTGCTTCTGCCTGCCTGCCCTCTGGGGTCTAGCTTTAGGGACTGCTGGGTTTCCACTTTCTCCATAACTGCAAAGCCATGCAAAACAACACAGAAGGTCGTGGGAGGTTCCGAGACACAACTGGGGATGAGGAAGGGGAGTGGACTCAGTGGGGGCGACCTGGACAAAGACACCCTGGGTTTTGGAAACAAGGGAAGGTGGGAGACCTGGCAGGACAGAGGTATAAATAGAGATGCAAACGTACACGGAACACGAAGTCCCCTCTGGATGGGGGAGGAGGGGGGGTCTGGGTACCAGCAGGGCCTCTGAGAACTGGGGAGCTCCTTAGATTTCCAAAGGGATGGGAGGCTCCCAGCTTCTGCCTTCCCTCCCCACTACCCCAACCCCCTCC